ATAAATTCAAACATTAGGCGGAACTTAAGTAATAAAGTAATAAACATACCTATACACTAACCTTCTTTCTGTCAACGGCTTTTTCGGTAATTTTGGATAGTTATGTAAAAGTTCATCAAATCTATCCAAATTCCTTGCCAACCAAATATCTTTTGAAGTACGTGCACGAGACATTTTTTAAGAGTAAAAGAAGCAAAGAAACTATGATTAATTGATCAATTTAATCTGTTAAATAACGAATACAGAATCAGTCACATGATACATGAGGGTGAACATTCCCACGACGTGCCAATTGTGTCATGAATTGTTAATATGATGGAATATTTTAAAAATAAATTCCCATTACAAAAATAAAAATAATACTTTTAATGAGTGCTATCAATTAAAATATCAATTTTTTATAATTTTAATAATGACAATCATAATAATTGCGTCTTTAAATATTTATTCATTAATTTTTTTTGTATTGCATGATGACTTTACTTAATAAATCGTAAAAGAAGCAAATATAAGATTTTTTAAAGAGACAATGGCTTTTTTAAATAAATTTTACGAATACAATAAGAATTTTTGAAGACATAAGGATTTCCTAATATATCGTAAAAGAATTTCATGATTCTCAGAAATAATAGGCTTTTTTTTAGATATCGTAAAGGATAATGGTGAAAAAATTTTTACGATTTTAGGTTTTTTTTTATATCATAATATTTATAGACGTAATCAACCAATATTAATTTAAATACATAATATTTATCATTTTGCAACAATATTATTAAATACAAATTCTAAAATACCAAGGATACCATTATATTCTTTAGATGATATTTCAGTACATAATTTTAAAGGAATTGATTCTGAATTAAATATTAACATTAATAATAATTTTATAAATCAATTAGAAAAAAGTTATTTTGAAAGAAAAAATTATGGAAACAATATTTAATTGAAGAAACATTTGAAAATAAAGTAGAACAATTTAATATTCATGATTATAATGGTAGAATTCAAAATTAAGATCAATGTCTAATAGTAAATTAGTTGACTTTATTTTATATTCATTACATAGCACTAAAGATTATATTAAAAAAGGAATACTTCTGAAAATTTCAGAAAAAGTATTAAATTTAATTCCTATGGTTGGTTTACTTCATATTTTTTGAAAGATACAAAATATCTAATGTTAATTAATTTATTAGATAATTCTATTCCACTTACTCTAAATATATACACAATACTTTTTAGAAGTAGATATTTTAAAGAATATTTAGAAAGTGTTATAAAAATCTGAATATTATTTTAAAGATTAAGAAGACAAAATTATAATAAAGCATTACTTATATTTTTAAGTGATGTTTTTTATTGAATATTAAAAAAAGCATCTAATAATTGATATTTTAAAAAATAATTTGCCAATTTTTAATTGAAAATTTTCATAGTTTTTATAAACATCAAATAGTAAAATCTAATTAAAAATTACAAATTATTCAAAAAGTAAAAATTATTGATGTTAAAAGAAATAATAACCCTTCCTTTAAAGATTCATTTATTAATTTAAGAAATTCAGCTAAATCTTAAATTAATAAATAAATCTTTAGAAAAAAAAGTTTCATTATTTCTATTATCAATAAGGTTTATCAAAATTTAGGAAATACAAAGCAAATTAATAATGATAAATTTCCAAAATTTTATCTTTCAAATTTTGATATAGAAGTAGATGTAAAAGTACTTTCTTTAGCTTGAAATATATAAAAAAAATCTGCTAATAATAAATTTTGTGATATAAATAATTGTTTATTACCAAATTATATAGAATTATCTAATAAAATTATCTTAATTTGTGAACAAATTTTTATAAAAAATATTTCTTATTATTTTAATTACATTTCATTTAAAATAAAAAGAAATATTAAATATTTAAATAAGAGATTATTTGTACCTTTAAAGAAAATAAAATTCCTTTATTTAAAGATAAAAATAATTATTTAAATAAAAATAATAATAATAATGAAAGTATAGAAAATATATTAGAAAAAACAAAATATAATATAGAAAATTAATATAATATAATGTATCATAAATGGTTAAATTATGATAGTATTTAAATTGGATTTAATAAATTTTAATTTTTAATTACTTTTAAAAATGTAAATATTTTTACTCGTAAAATTATCTAATAATAAATCTATTTATAAAAATTAATACTTTTATTATATTATATATTATGAAGCTATATATATAATTTTAGTATATATTATATGTAAAATATTTAATTAGAAATAATTAACTAAAAAATATATTGATTTTGACATTTTTTTTTATGTAATTACAAAATATTGCTTTTAAGAAAACTTATTCAATAATAATTAAATTTTGATAAAATGTGATATTATATTTTTCTATATTAATATAAAATTACTTGTAAAAAATTAGCTTATAATATGATTTAAAATATTTTAATCAGAGTAATTTAATATAAAAAATACATTGATTTTAGCACTTTTTTTTATGTAATTGCAAAATGTTACTTCTAGTAACACTTACTCAATAATAATTAAATTTGATAAAATTTGGTATTTTATTTTACTATATTAATATAAAGCTATCTGTAATATATTAACTAATTATTATATAAAATTTTTTAATTAAAAATAATTAATATAAAAAATACATTGATTTTAATATTTTTTTTATGTAATTTTAAAATTTTGCTTCTAATAAACTTACTTAATCATAATTAGATTTTAATAAAAGTTAGTATTTTATTTTATTA